GTGACTTTTTTTTATTTACAATTAATGTTATTGCTCTCACATAGGGGGTAACAATCCCACCATGTGACTGCACACGCACACTGACAGGTCCTCTTTATGGAGACATAAGGGGTCTCTAAGACCCCTAATGTCACCCGGGGGCCCCCAAAGAAGCTGAGGAAGCAGTGATCTGCTTCACCGGCTTCTGCTGATGACTGCTGAATGCCGAAGTAATGTAATAACCATCACTTCCGCATTCAGACGTAGGAGAGAGACCAGCAATGAGGAAGATGCTGATTTCCCTCCCATCTTCCTCCTGACACCCACCTGAACCGGTCCCAGGCAGCAGAGGGGGCAGCGGAGCCCGGGATTGAAGGTGAGGGTGCAGGGGGGATGGGGACGCGCAGGGTAGCATATACAAGCGATCGGACAGCTATAGAGCTGCGATCGCTTGTATGTGTAACAGTCAATTACAGCTCTAAGCATTTGATAGTTTTTTTCTGCCCATGCGCGTGCTAGGGGCACACGCGAGCAGAAAAAAAAAGCTGTATATTTACTCCAACCCATCAATGGGAGCTTGCCGTCCATCTGTTTTTTTACAATGGGCAGACGGCAAGCAGTTAATAACAATTTCTATGACTGCTGTGCATACTGTTTAGCAGAAAGGGTAGCATAAAAGGCATTTCATTGTGTTGCCAAACTAAAATTTTGTTGTGCTTTAAAGCACTTTGAATGATTGGGGCTAAAAAATAAGGTACCTAATGTCTACCAAGTTTTTCACCACTGTTTTAGGTAAATATCCCATTCTTAAAGCTGACTGAAATCTGCATTATAGCCTTAAAGAGAAACTTGAACCATATCTTTGAAATTACAACAAATGCACCTTTAGAAATGTTTAGTAATGGCAATCTAAAAAAGATACTTATAGATAATTGCCGGCTTTTTATTCTTTGTATACCTTATTTCTCTTTTCTTCCCCAGTCTTCTCACATTGGCCATTTTTACTAAGTGGAATGTATCCATCTCTCTTTACTTCCTGGAACTCTGGCACATGTGACTAGGACATATGACCATGCACATCATCTCAGAAGAGGAAAATGCCTTTCCCTGAGATCTTGTAAGATTACAGATGAGATTTCCCAGCAGTGCACCGCTGATGTAATTTTCCCAGGAGGACCAGGAAATGGATACAAATAATTGTAAGTAAAAGAAAAATATGTTTGTTTAACTAATGATTGTAAGATTAGTTTATATCAGCATGCAGAGCTGCATGCTGGGGTGATTTTTTGTGAAAGGGGTAAAGGTCCCCTTTAACAAGAGTATAAATCTTAGTAGATGGCTTCTCTTTTTTATGATTACCCCAGCTCAGAGATGTACTGTAAATGCTAGGTACAATAAGGCTTGTGTGTTCCGATTTAAAATTCAGGATTATTTTGGATACAATCAAATTGCTTTTAGGATGGCTAAATATGGAAGCTGAAAATGTATATGATATGTTAAGGTATAATATACTAGCATTTGTAACCAATAAAAGCAAGACAATTATCTTATCATTCCAAATGTTTGACTAATATGTTCTCTAAATACAGTAAGATATGCTGTTTCCCATTGTAAAACAAAATGCATGTTAAGAAATCCTACTGGAAAGACACTAGAATTCTTGGAATATAAAAGTAATGCCAGATAACCCCTTCCATGCCAAAAAGGTCAGTAAAATAGTACAGCACGGAGAATTGTTTTTATAAAAGGCACTGAGGGGATTAAGATGAGCTTCCGGGTCAAGACTCTACAATTTATTACAATTGTCAGTTTTAGCACTTAGGCAGTTAGAAAAAAGATGCTGTGCATATGTGTTGAATTTGCAACTAAAGCGAATAATAAACCCTTCTACACCAGCTAGCGTACTAGGCATGTTGAATTTCTTCTTTTTAATCTCAGCAGCAACCCACAACTTTGAAAGCAGTGATGATACCATGCTGGTTGCCAAAAGGACACGGCACAACGTACCACACAAGTGGAGTTTATCAGGTGTAGGACGCCGTCGGTGATGCATCACCACTGAGAAGTACTGGGAGGGAATAATCAGCAGTGAAATATCACAGCTGGTCATGATTTCAGTCCGTGCCAAACACCTGCAAACTCTAAAAGGATATCAAAACAAAACTCCACCCAATGGCACCGAGCCATCCCTTAACAACCAGTCGTTGACTCTGCATCACCATAAAAATTAATTTAACATTTCTACAGAAACAGTATTCTTCCTGTCCCAGAAGGCTGTTCCATTTCCTTTCACAGCTCTTTCGGCTAAGATAAATATGCCACAGAAAACAAACAGAAAATAAAAAAGTTAAATATTTGATGACTGGAAAAATTATCTGTTGGTTTCATCTGTTTATTTGTGGAAGCCTGTGAAGTGAGTAGATTTTATTAACCTGCAGACTATATCATGCTGCTGAAGTTCCCCCATCTTAATGCATCCTGCAAATATATGCTGCCACATATGGTAAAATCGCACAGACAAAAATGCTGCTTGCACAAGTCAAACCCAAGGTCCCAGTGAAATGCTTGTTCTATTTACTCACATGAGTAGATGACAAGGACCAGGCTATGGATACCTTAAATTCAAAAAAAGTCTGCTGTTGGGTCATCTGCACCACTCTAAGTTATGCTGTCCAAAGATTTACGGACAACAATAGAACCAAAAAAAATGAAGTTAACACAAGCAGGAAAGATTTATGCAATACTAAAGCAATTATTTGTCATAAAAAAATAAATGGCAGTCACTCATCACAAGCAAATTCATAAATGGCCTGTTGAACTAAATTAATCAAAATTCCCTTTTGTGCACTTGCAGTGATATGCAATTTTCTGTATGTGTATAACATTTCCAACGTCTCTCCGACTTCAGGTTGTGTTTTTAACAAAACATTTCCCACACAGGCTGTATCAAACACACTTGCCACGCAGGCTCATCCTTGTCCCCTGGCAACTGATCCACTCCCCCCAGTCTGCTAGAAACACAGACTGGTTCCAGGGAGGGGCTCCTTTCTTAAGGTGCCCATACACCTTACAATGTATCTGCAGATTTGATGTGGTCAGATGGAAAAAGTGCAACAGAGTGGCCCAGGTGGAGATTACTCCATCCACACAGTTAAGTGTAGATGGAGGATTCTGTTGCACCTTTTCCATCTGACCACAGAAAATCTGCAGATGAATTGTAAGGTGTATGGCCAGCTTTAGGAGGCTGGGTGTTCTTGTAGAGGCTCTAACAAACCAGCTAGCTTTAGCTGGGCTTGTGACCTCCAAGCCTCCAGCCCTCTGAACACTTCCCCCTAGAGGAAGAACTTCAGTATTATATCTGAATCTAGGGAATACAACTCTGCCATCTTGGCTAGACTCAGACATTTTCCTCTGCCTGCTGCCACAATATATGTATACATACCCCCACACACACAGGTATATATAAATAAAAATAAATATTTCAATGAAGGAGTGTCCTACCACTCTCCTTACTGGTATGTCACTTTTGCTGGGTGCTGTAGTGACTGTGGATGGTGCAGTTTCAGATTCAAGTAGTAAAGTATGCCACCAGCACACCGTGGTTAAATCTTTAAGAAGTGATCATTTTATTGATGCAGACACAGCTATGTGTCAAGATGTGTGTGCATCAATAAAATGATCACTTCTTGAAGATTTAACCACGGTGTGCTGGTGGCATACTTTACTACTTGAATAAATATGTCAAGGAGACACAAATGCTCCTGCAAATTGGCTAATACATTAACAGAAAGATTTGTTAATCAGGACACAACGGAAATTAATAACACTATTTAAATGTATTTGGTTTTTTGATTTGAGCAAACAGGTGAAATACAATTATAGCATTTTCACTGATACCACTACATACAGTCTATCAGCAGCTGAACCCGAGAAAACGGGGGATTCCCCATATCCCAACACTTCCTAATACTGATAATAAACAAACAGCACCATTTACAATTAATTGTACTGTTGCATAAAGCATGTCCGTATTTTTATGTCTGTCAATCAGTCAGCCTTTGTACAAGCATTATAAAGAATAAGCCTATCCATTCAATACAATTCTTAGAAGGAACCTTTCTGTATATAAAAAGGGTAGCCCCATAACTGTCACCCCATGGTATCTATAGCCAAAATGATTTCTAGTTAGTGATGGCATGGGAAAGGGTAGTACCCCTGTCAGATTCTATTGCTGTCTAGGGATCCATTACAGAGATTTCCCCCAACTTTCTGTTCTGGTGATACTGGTTTAACATACAGGAAGTGAGTGCAAATCTGCAACAGGGAAACAGACAACATGAAACAAATATAAAGATGACAGTCCTGAGCCTTGCATGTTAAAAAAAGAAGTCAGCAGTGGCAGCTCCTGTGGTTTCATACTGACAGATTCTGCTTTTTATGTTGGATTGATTCTTTTGTGAATCTTAATATCCTTCTACTACATATGCTGCACATTATGGCAAAAACGTTCTGGGGGACCAACATTTTGAATTTAGTCTGCCAGTTTACCTCTGCTTTTAAAAGACGCATACCTTTTCGAACCAACTGTTTCTGTATGTCAATGATGTTTGTCAGTGTTTCTTACTTGTCTAGTCTAAACGATTTACAGCGCTGCGGAATATGTTGGTGCTAAAAAAATATTTGTAATTATAGTAGATATAAATAAGAATTGGCTCAAGATGACTGACTGGCATGGCACCAGTCAGTATCTTGTACCAATCTGTTGAATTCTTCTTCCAAGGGACTAATCATCTTTACTCTGGTCTTATAACAAACATAAACCCTAATGCTAAGTAGAAGACTTAGCCTAATTAACACGTGGGAGTAAAAGAGAGGGAAGCTTCTGATTATGTTCTCTGGGTTGAAGATTGATTTAGTCACCACTATCCAAAGGTTGAACATTTCTCACATTATTGCTTTTGCAAGTTAAATGGATAAGCATGCAGTAAATATATATAAAATAAAAGTGCTTTTAGACTGACCTGGGGTTCTGAGAATACTTGCTTAATACTGTTGATTGGACCATACGGGATGCCACTTCCTTCAAAAAGCTGAAGCCACTCAGAGGTGGTTTTTTCTGAGAACCTAGGAATAAACAAGATAATCTGGTCTGAACTCTCTCTTTCTTTTTAATTCCAAAGGATGTGAAGTACTACCACACTGGTTTATTCCCAGGCAGCCAATATTATAACAAAATATGTTCAGCGGAAATGCAAAAGCTCAAAGCCTCAGGCAAAGAACATGGTTAAGGAGCCTTGTAATTCTATCTGATTGTCTTAATATGAGATGCAAACCAAAATTATCAGCAATTTCATATATGGTCAGTGGATTTCCTCAGGCTGTTTCTGCTGTAATGATCATCACATTTGTAAGACAATAGCATTAACATTCTATGGGGAAAACAAAATAAAATATGGAACTGCTTGAGTTTTGATCTGAAAAACCTGATACGAAGCAGCCTTACTTTTTCCTGCCTATCATATGTGAAACATATGTCGGAACTAACAACCACAACTGTTAGATAGCTAAACAATGTTCACATTTATTACCAACATAATTTGGAAATATGGATTAGCGGGGTCACAGGGCCATGAAACCCAGTGCACTCCAAATATCCTTGATATCAGCAAAGTCCTTTGTCTGCATCTTGCTGAAAGCTCAGATCACGGCATTAGAAGACTCATATGTTAAATGCTGATTTTCAGTGAACAATAAGATCCTTACATGCTAATAGGCAGCTGATGTAACCTTTTGATAGTGTTTAGCAGAAAACAAAGTTGTTTGGTTACTTAAAGGTCTATGCAAAAAGGCATTAAGCCAAATCTTTTTTATATAATCCTTTTACTTTTATTCCACTGCAAACTGTTGCATATGTAGCAAAAAGAGGTTTCCTGAAGGCTTGTCTAAGGTTGTAAAGGGCTGATAAAATCTTTGATTTAAAGCAGTGGTGAGTAGCCTTTGGGTGAGGACCCGAAATAAGTTGCTGACATTCATTTTTAGGCTTTTCAAATTCAAATTTGTTCTGCTAAATATAAAAAATATATATCTTTTCGGGCCTAGAAAAAAGAAACCTGATACTAGCAGCTAATGTAACAATGGACAGGCATACTGACAGTTCGGGGGTCTATTTGATGTTTTCACCCAAGATTTACACATGTTTTAATTATTATTATTATACAGGATTTATATAGCGCCAACAGTTTGCGCAGCGCTTTACAATATAAGGAAGACATTACAATTACAATACAATGCAAGACAATATGGTGAGGAGGGCCCTGCCCCTGAGGGCTTACAATCTAACGGGAGGGGGAAGTGATACGTGAGGAGGTAGCTGTGTGGGGATGAATTGTTTGAGAGATAGATATTTTAGTGGTTAGGTTGGATAAGCTTCCCTGAAGAGATGAGTCTTAAGGGATCGCCTAAAGGTAGACAGAGTAGGAGATAGGCGGACAGGTTGGGGTAATGAGTTCCACAGAACGGGGGGGACTCTGGTGAAGTCCTGGAGGCGAGCATGGGAGGAGTTGACAAGGGAGCTAGAGGTCTTGGGAGGAGCGTAGGGGATGTTTAGGGTGATACTTGGAGACAAGGTTTGAGATATAGACGGGGGCAGAGTTGTGGATGGCTTTGTAAGTGGTTGTTAATATTTTGAATTTTACCCTTTGGGCTATTGGAAGCCAGTGCAGGGATTGACAGAAGGGGGTTGCAGACACTGAGCAGTTGGTTAGGTGGATAAGTCTGGCAGCAGCATTTATGATAGACTGAAGAGGGGATAGCCTGTGTAGAGGTAGGCCAATGAGGAGGGAGTTACAGTAGTCGAGACGAGAGATAACAAGGGAGTGGATAAGCAGCTTTGTGGTTTCATTGGTGAGGAAGGGGTGTATTTTGGAGATGTTACGAAGGTGAAGGCGGCAGGATTTGGATAGTGATTGGATGTGGGGAAGAAAGGTGAGGTCCGAGTCAAGGATGACACCCAGCACCATGGCATGCGGGGAGGGTTGTGTCATTAATCATGATTGAAAAGTTGGGGGAGGGTGCGCGGGGGTGTGTGAATACCATAAGCTCAGTTTTTGATAGATTGAGCTTTAGGAAATGTTGTGACATCCAGACAGATATGTCAGTTAGTAAGTTAGTGATGCTTAAGGAGACTGAAGCTCCTTAGAGTTGTGGAGTGGAGATTTTAGTGTTGTCAGCATAGAGGTGATACTGGAAGCCATGCGAGGAGATCAGCTGACCAAGAGAGGAGGTGTAGATAGAGAAGAGAAGGGGTCCAAGGACAGAGCCTTGGGGGACCCCAAAAGACAGGGGAAGAGGGGAGAAAGATGTAGATTTGTAGGTTACACTAAATGAGCGCCTAGATAGGTAGGAGGAGAACCATGAGAGAGTCTTGTAGGCCAAGCGAGTGGAGTTTTCTGAGGAGCAGAGGGCGGTCAACAGTGTCAAAAGCAGCAGAAAGGTTTAATAGCAAGAGTACGGAGTAGTGGCCATTGTTTTTAGCTGTTAGTAAGTCATTAGTGAGTTTTAGTGGAGTGTTGGGGGCGAAAGCCAGACTTTAGGGGATCGAGAAGGTTGTTATCGCTGAGGTGGCTGCTCAGGCGATTGTAGTCGAGGCTTTTAAAGGAGTTTGGAGATGAAGGGGAGTAAGGAAATAGGTCTGAGATTGCTGAGGTTGGTGGGGTCCAGTGAAGGTTTTTTGGGTATTATACAGCAATACAGAATAATAGTATATGTATTGCTACATACTCTGTGCTGCTGTTCTGGGGTGCCGGCCTGATGTCTCGGACGGAGGGGGAGATTTGCAGAGGGTCTCTGGAGGGGGAGATGTGCAGGCCGGCGGAAGCGATGTAAACAGGCACAGTGTGGTTCCCAAGAAGGCTGCTGCCAGGTCCCCAGCAAGCTCAGTACCTAAGGCAGCTGCTTCAATTTGAAAAATGAATGCGCCGGTATGGGTTTTTGGTATCAGGCCATTTTCACGAGCATGAATACTCGTGAAAATGCCCAGTATCGGCACTAATGCTGATACTGGTATTGGTATGGGTGCATCCCTATTCAGAATTGCTTCTTATGAAAGTAATGCATAACATGCTTGCAGTTTAAATGCAGGTCAGATGGAGGCTAACTGCAGGTCAAATGCACATGTCAGTGAATTCTGAATGATCTCAGAAGTGTCTCAAACTGATGTTAGAAGCACACTGCATTTTCCCATTGAGGTCCCTCCACACTGGCTGTAAGGCGTGGGGGGAAATGTAAGGCGCAGGTTCTCATATTCTCCATGATGGTTACTTCAGAAAATCCAAACTTTTACAAATACTTACTATTCTTATGCTATACCCAACCTAAGCTTAAAGGAGAATTATGAGGCGAGTGATTTTCATAATCTTATAATCTGAGCCGACCTGTGACAATGAAACTGTCACAGGTCGGCTAAAGTAGATCGGGAAGTGAGCGAACACATACCGTCGCTCGCGCACTTCTCGATCTATCCGTGCAGAGAGCCGTGACTGTCACTCACGGCTCCCTGCAGGGATTCCAGCCCTCCCCTGTCCGATCCTCCAGCGTTGACTAGCGGAACATACTGGGGAGGGGGCGGGTACAGCTGGCTCTGCCTCTAGATAGGCACAGCCAGCTGTCACTCACGCAGCTGGGTGGATCCAGACAGCATTGTCGGGATCCATTCCGGCTGCGGCATCTCAGTATACCGCGAGCTGTGGCTCGTGGTATACTGAGCTTTGGGTTACGGGAGAACGCTAGTTTGTCTCCCCCCGTTACCCTAAGGAGAACTATGGGGAAAAGCCCTGACCCCATAGTTCTCCTTTAACAAATTAAATACCCAAATATTACAATACTAACTTAAAGCATATCCTAAAAGACTAAACCTAAAAGAAAAAAAACTAAAAAAAGCCTAAAAAAAACCTAATACAGCCAACACATAAAAGGATTGATAAGGTGTAGATCTTCATTAATATGTAAAGGGCCTAAGTTTATTGAAAATCTGTTACAAAACAGAGTTACAGTAGTCGAGACGAGAGATAACAAGGGAGTGGATAAGCAGCTTTGTGGTTTCATTGGTGAGGAAGGGGTGTATTTTGGAGATGTTACGAAGGTGAAGGCGGCAGGATTTGGATAGTGATTGGATGTGGGGAAGAAAGGTGAGGTCCGAGTCAAGGATGACACCCAGCACCATGGCATGCGGGGAGGGTTGTGTCATTAATCATGATTGAAAAGTTGGGGGAGGGTGCGCGGGGGTGTGTGAATACCATAAGCTCAGTTTTTGATAGATTGAGCTTTAGGAAATGTTGTGACATCCAGACAGATATGTCAGTTAGTAAGTTAGTGATGCTTAAGGAGACTGAAGCTCCTTAGAGTTGTGGAGTGGAGATTTTAGTGTTGTCAGCATAGAGGTGATACTGGAAGCCATGCGAGGAGATCAGCTGACCAAGAGAGGAGGTGTAGATAGAGAAGAGAAGGGGTCCAAGGACAGAGCCTTGGGGGACCCCAAAAGACAGGTGAAGAGGAGAGGAAGATGTAGATTTGTAGGTTACACTAAACGAGTGCCTAGATAGGTAGGAGGAGAACCATGAGAGAGCAGAGTCTTGTAGGCCAAGCGAGTGAAGTTTTCTGAGGAGCAGAGGGTGGTCAACAGTGTCAAAAGCAGCAGAAAGGTCAAATAGCAAGAGTACTGAGTAGTGGGCGTTGTTTTTAGCTGTTAGTAAGTGAGTTTTAGGAGGGCAGTTTCAGTGGAGTGTTGGGGGCGAAAGCCAGACTGAAGGGGATCGAGAAGGTTGTTATCACTGACGTGGCTGCTCAGGCAATTGTAGACGAGGCGTTCAAGGAGTTTGGAGGTGAAGGGGAGTAAGGAAATAAGTCTGAGATTGCTGAGGTTGGTGGGGTCCAGTGAAGGTTTTTTGGGTATTGGGGTGACCAGTGCATGTTTTAGAGGGGAAGGGAAGATGCCAGTAGAGAGTGAAAGATTAAAAATGTGAGTAAGAGAGTGTAGGATAGAGCGGGAGGGTGATCGGAGTAGCGGTGAGGGAACAGGGTCCAGGGGGCAAATGGTGAGTTGGGTGTCAGAGAGAAGCTTTGCAACC